CGTAGGCTTGGTGATTAAGCCGAACCACGTTAATTCTTGTGCATTGCTCATCGTTCGTACTAGATATAGTTTTCTATTAAATTGCTGGTCTTTTTCTTCTCAAATAATTGGCCTGATACCCTAATAAAAAAGTTACATAGAACTCTTGTCCACTTGTTCTGATTTGTAAGTGCTTTTCACATCTTTAAAATCCATATATAATTAAGGATTGGGAGGGTTTTAATATGTTTTGTAACTTTCAAAATTATTGTGGGTATTAGTGATGCTGCTAAAAATACATTAATGTTAGAGGATCTTTCCACCTTTTTTTCTTTCTTTCTTTGTTCTTGGGCTCTAAAAAAAGGCAAAATTGCTTTAATAGTTGTGATGTTTCTAACCTGCAATTTTAAACGAATCCATGAGGCATTTAAAAACTTTATCCACTTTCCATTAATGACTCGGTCTGGAGTCCCAAAAGTCATTATATAAGGGAATATAGGTTAGGTTGGTAAAGTATAATTTGATTACATTAACAGTCTTAGATGTTTCTGTCCACCTTAAATTATTTCCTAGACTTTATATCTATACAACTAAGCACATTTTTTTAGCATGAATCTGGAAAGTTTTGGATGGACACAAACAATTAGTGATTCATATATAGTCAACAAACCAGTAAGCAATGTCTTGGCATCATCCAACAATAGACATGCAAAACTGAAATCCTCTTCCTTCTAAAGCAAAGCTTGAATAAACTATTGGGGTTGGGCTAATAATAAGAAGAGGGTTCTTAAAATCTTTTCTGCTGTGAGATTTAGGATTCGAATTCTGTAAATTATTGGGGTTGAACCAGCAATCAAAAGGGAGTTCTTAGAATTTTTCTTACTGTCAGATTTAAGGTTCGAATTCTATATTTGACAGTTGGAGATGAAAAGAGTGTAAGGACAGGCGGAATGGTCACAAAGGAAAAAAAAAAAAAAGCTTGAATGATCACAGCTGCATCAATAAATCTGTTTATAAATAAGTTTAAACATTATTTTTTGCGTGACCATTATGAAATTGATTAATCATGAATCATTCCAAATTTCCAGCAGATTTTGATATTTAAATTCTTCCATTACTTTTCTGTTTTTCATGGGCCCATAAATTATCTGGGTCAGGGGGCCAACCATTGAGTTCCACCTATTACAGCCTTTCGACAAAATCACTCCGCAGAATTTCCTCAAATGGGCTCAGCTGCCCTCCTAGAGATTGTGGGCTATATAGTCCATGAGTACAAGAAGATGGTGTGTTTTTGGTGGAACGTTATAGCTACAGACAATTTGGTGAAAACCACACAATTGAATCCTTCTTTTCCCCTAAATCTTATGTAGTGTGACGTTTTATACATTATCATCGTTGAATTTATAATATATGTGTAAAATTTAAATTTTAAATTCAAAATTTACATAATTATCATTCATCCAACTCTGACAATGTATCAGCGTAAAATAGATTAATCCTCCTTTTTTTTTATAAAACTATTGAAATTCAAGAACTCACATTAGTGAAAGTAATACACACAAAGGACAACTCAAGATAATTGACCAATTGTGAGAATTACAATTCAATACTACAAACTTAGCTTATATAAGAAAGTTCTATTAATGAGACTTGAAATCTAGGATTTAGTGATCTTGAACCTTCAATCTTAATTATTAGACATAATTGCTCCTAATCACTAGAACCCACGTGTAACAAGAAAATAGGAGAAAAGCTTTTACCTTGGATTAATAATTTACTTTGCAACTCTAATAGGCACGTTAGTTACCCTACATGCCTTTTCGTGTCCTTGATGTTTATCCAACCATACTTTAATCTCTCTTTTCCCTGCCTCACCTAATCTTCATCACATATTTCCAACATCAACAAAAGTTGGCACAATCTAGCATAGGTGAAAACTTCTATAATGATCACAAGGGTGAAACTCAAAGGAATAATGCAAGAAATGGACTTTTTACTCCCTTGAGCACTGGCTGAACGAAAAAAGAAAAGACAAATGGAGAAAAAGAAAATCTATCTATTGCATGCAAAAACACACGAAACTCTTGTAGTTACTGCTAGTTTCATGTATTGACTAGATTAGTTTTTTTTTTCCTAAATAATCTATGCAAAAAGAAGTAATTTTTCTCTGCCTTGTTTTGAAGGAAAATTAACTTAAAATTTGTCGAGTAAATACCATGGATTGAGAGGCCATAGTTTAGAAAAGATACAAGAGTATACACAAAACACATCCTGCAAATGATCGAAAACCTTTACTTCATTTGGTACTAAATGAAAATCTCCACGAGAAAATAACGTACTCAGCTTTGTTTATTTTCACAATACATTTAGAAATTTTGGTTTCATCTTATTTCATTGGTAAAATATCAGATGATTAAGTAGGAAACCTCCATCAATATATAAGCCAAAAAGAACTGTCACTAGATAATTAAGGCAGAAAGAACTGTCAAAAAACCTGCCACGAAAAACCCTCCATGAAAAGTAAATTTGGCGAATAATGGTTGAGAACTATCCAAATTAGCTTCCACGCTACAGCTAAAACGTAATGCAGAAACCTGCACAAACAAGCTTTTCGCAACGGATCTTCTGCACAAATAGACTGTTGTATCTATTTTTTACTCAATTAATAGTTATTGGATCTTAAAAAAATAAATAAGAACTAAAACGTGATGTTTATGAATGAGAAATAGTAATATAATAAAAAGTGAGATAGAGAGTGGCACAGGGAGGAGTGGGACAGAAGATCCGTTGCGCAAACTTTTTGATTCATTCTATAGAACTAACTCTTGCCGTAACGAATTTGCGATTTCGAGCCACCTTGAACTTGCAAGAAGCACATAATCAAATATTCATCAAATCAACCATATTGCAATAGTTATTTGAAGCACATGCAATCAAATAAATCAATACATAGATGATAGAACATTAATTAAGATTAAGTAGGGCATTTCAAATAAGTATTAATTTTTGCATAATTAGTGCCTAGTCTCATAAGTCCTAGTTAATAAACGATACTTTGTAGCAGTGTTCAATAAGGTCCGTTTGAATGGATGGGATTTGGGTGAAATCCAAATTCCTCCTAAATTAGCCAAACAAGTTAGGGTGAGTGATTGGGAATATGAAATCTACTAAAAAGTGGAAGGGAAGTTTATAGCTAAAATGAGTGGATTTTAAGTTCTCCTAATTTACTTGTCATTTCAAATCCTTCCATGTACTCCTTTCTAAATTCTTTTTAAGCATATGTTCATGGTATGGAATATGGATTGACTATGGAGTTGGAGCACGGCCAAGTACTAGGACACTACTTATGGCTTCTGCAACTGTCCTATATATATTAGCCAAACAGGGTACTTGATGTATTATGGATTCTACATTCACTCATTTCAAATGCATTCATCTAGAATCCTTCTTATAGGTCTCAATTATAGGAAGATTGTACATTAATTTTTGGTACTATACCTTTAAATTGTATTTCACCATTGGATGGTAAAATAAGTATTTTTTTTTGATAATTGGACTATAGTAGTTTGAATTATTTAAAATATGAATCAATATTGTCATTAAAGAAACACTTTGAGAGAATGATTCCCCAAATTAAGAGACCATAGAATTTTCCTCATTATATGGAAAGCATGAGAAAGAATTCTCCTAAAAGAATGAAAAAGCAATTAGATATTAATAACAAGTTCATTACTGTGTTTTATCAAAAAAAAAAAAAATCATTACTGTAATAATTAGTTAAAAGTCCAAGGATTATTCAACAACCTTCATTGAGAGCAAGAAACAAGAAATAGAAATCCTTTAACTACCAAAAAGAAAAAAAAAGTTTCACCCTTACCATTAGTACATATATCATAAGATATATAGTAACTAGTAACTGTTTTCACTTTTCAACATCCCACTCCTTCTTCCTCTGCTTCCGAAAAACAACCGAAGATGACAATTAAAATAGCAATTCTCTCTTTACTTTGGTTTCAAAGTAACACTTTATCCTAAAGTAGTGAACGTACATCTTGTTGAATTATGTAAAGGAGTTCAATGGCGTCCTAACCCCGGCAACCCAGTTCCTTCCTTTTTTTCTACTTAAGGAAAACAATGTAAGATGAAACTACATTATAAAACAAGAAACTACCAAAATCGAAGCATTTTCCAGAGAATGGAAAGTGGGAGAAAATGGAAAGTTAGCGGGGTCGATTGTGAAGCTATATAATCCTCGATTTGCAGAAGCTAATAACCTAAGGAAAAAAAACAATCATCACTGCTAACCCTTTTCTCCTTTGCCTGATCTTAGTCTGGTCTCCATAATTTGGCTGAAGAAGACGTTCTTGTAGCACAACAGGACGCGAAGAAAAAGAACAAGAAGATGGCGACTATGGAACAGTGCATGCAAGTGTTTCGTATTGTGGGGGGTGCTTTTCTGGCGTTATTCGGAACTACAATATTCATCGTCATCACGGTTAATAAGTGCCACAATGTGGCATCTTATATCACGACGGTAGTTCTTGTGGATCTCATATTAGCATTCACGGCTGGAAGGATGTCGGTGGGGCGTGTCACTTCTGCAAACGACAATGTTGAGATGCAGAATACTGCTTAAACTGGCTATGTATCCAAAGTTGGATTAGTAATGGATTTCCAGATGAAAGCTCACAAGTCCAGCCAGCCAGCCAGCATGCCTAGAGCAATGAACCTCTATGGTTGTTAGTACAGAATCTGTAACTAAAATACTCAGTCACCAAGTTTGACAAGATATTCTAAGTTATTGTCATCTTCTAACATCTCACCTAGTCGAGGACTCAAACTATGATTGTCATGTTTGAAATTTACCCTGTTTGTCATTTATTATCGGATACCTTGTGGAACAGTTTCAGGACTAAAAGTTTTTATTTTCACCAACTGATGTGGTAAAATGGATTCCTGATGTGAAATTGATGTTGTGCAGACAATGGTGACGCAAATAGGGCTCCATGAACAGACAAACATGCAGAAAGAAGTCCATTTGAGCTCAATTGGGGGTACCCATCCCTGCATGCAATGGTCTGAATGAAAATTAATGAAAACGCACAAAGCTTTTTACATTGTCCAATGGTAGATCAGCAAGGTGGTTAATTAGATGCAAAAGTTCACCATTTTGAAGGGCTAATCTCCACTGTTTTCAACATTAGGCCAGCCTTGATCTGCTTGAAGCTTCACAAATGCAGCTAAGAGTTTAATGTCCTCTTCTTGTAACCTGGGACCGAATGTGCATTGGCCCCTTGGTGTACAATTCTGACCAAATCCCTACAGCAGGAAAAAGGGCATACACTATTGTCATCTAGAAGATCCAAATGATCAGATGTACCTCTTATTATAAACTTACTGGCATTCTTCCCTTGCCAAAGTATGTTACACGATATATTTCCTCTTCCGTGTCATTGCCGTTTCTGTGGAATTAGGAGATTGGTTAGTTCATCCTACCTGCAACAAGCCTTTGTAATTGCTTACAGTTTTTATGTCGCTACAAAGTTTATCTACCACAGAAATTTTAAAGTCAAAAGTTTTGTTCTTACTAGTGTTAAGTTTGAGTTACAACTATTTTCTAACGAGTGTTAAAGTAACCTTCAAAGACTGATTGAAAAAGTAAATGACATACTGGCACAAGGTAAAACACAGATTGGACTCTAACTATTTCTTAGTTATTTTCAAGTTTTCCATTTATTGCCTGTTCATTTCATTTAGTTCCTGACTATGGTTGATGCTTATATCATAAGCTTGCAGGTTCATCTTATTGCTATGTTTAGATTGAACAGAACAAGAACGCCCACGTATGCTTAGGATCAGACTAGGGAAAGAGAGAAATACGACTCATCCATCACTTTCCACCTCATGGATAGATTAAATGTGGATAGTTACCTCTGCAGATCTTTCAAGAAGAGTGTTGCACCCTAGCGCACAACCAAATCAAAAAGTTTAAGCTTAGCCTGATACTATAGACAGTTATCTGGAACACATGGAACTGGATTATGCTCACCGGTTGTATTATGTTTCCACCTGAATCATGGCAACCAATGCAAGCTTGACGAAACAAGTTAGCTCCTTTTTGTATGTCTATGGTTTGCCCAAGTGAAACTGTTTAAAAAAATAAAAAGCAAAGAAATAGAAATCCATTAGAAAGAGCATATATCCATCTATCTATGTTAAAAGAGGTCTAAAAACTTACAAAAGTTAATGAACTTCTGTAGGACTTCAGAAAGTCCCTAATGAAACAACAATGATCTTCTTTATAGAAATTGAATTGATAACAAGAAAAAAAAAGAATGGTTGATAAAAATGTTCTGCAGAAAACATGGGCAGCTTGTTTTTGACCTGGCACATAAGTTACCAAAAAGCATAAGTGGATGCAAGTACAAAAGGAATTTTTGTTACAGAATAAGCATCAGAAGTCAACCAGAAGTGTAACAAGAAAATTACACTAGTCAATACTCATCCTTTCCTCAAAAGTACAATTCACATAGTAAAAATTAATGTGGTGCTACTGCTATCTTGATAAGGAAACCATGTACAAGGATCTAACAGTGTTCCAACATAAAACTTTCACTGCATGTAGAGAGACAGTTAACAAATTCTTATACCGTATGTAATAGTACAAGGCTACTTACATAACTCAGACGCAGAGAATCATTCAAGAACAACACTGGTTTCCAAATGTTGTTCTGTTACTAGATACATGCCAAGACTAAATGCAATTTGACATTTTTCAAACTGCTAGGGCATCACTAGTTTTTGCTTCTTGCAAGTTCTTCATATCGATCAATCACCAAATCTATAATCTCTATGATGTAGTCATATAACCATTTAATTTGACTGACCATTTATTTTGTTGGCTCAAGTACAATTGCACTTCATTGAAGCTTGAAGACTTCATCAGATGCACCAATAGTTTGAGGCATAAATTGCTGCCACATTTTCCTATTCTACCTCTCCCCACCCATCATGCTTATGTTGTTATCAGCAGAGCTGAATTCGTATGTCTTCTTATGATAGAGACTCATAGATGAAAGAAGTACTAGAATAGAACGTATTACTCCAATTTCTTATGGGCCCATAAGCTCTCAAGTTTAAATGATCAACTAAAATCCATCCTCTATTGCCTTGCCTTATTCATGCAGCATACATTTATGCATGAAAGAGGACCTACCACTAAAAATGCCATTACATTTTCTAGTGTATTTGAAAATACTGAAGTTCAAGTGGATGCTCTTTGTCCCCTAACTTCATTAGAGGAATAATACGAGCAATACACTGGTGCAAGAAGCCGCTGTACAACAAATTCACCGTGACAAAGCAGATGATTGCATAACACATGCACAAGCCTAGAAAGGCTTCTTGATTTAATTCTGGACCACATATTGTATAGTTGCTATTTGGCCCTTCCAGCATTCTCAAGTAATGTAGTTAAGATAAAACAAAGCAGCAACCGAAAGCTTGTGTATACCATGAAGATGAGCAATAATCCACTTAAGGCATCAAATCATGAACCTAAGAACCTAGTCTATATGTCAATGTGAGATTCACCAAGATATGGAGTCTTTTATTTTACCTTATTCATGAATAATTAATATTCCTCTCTCTCCACCTTTAGCAAAAAATGGACCAGCAGATGTTTCTGTATATTGAGCCACTTTAACACACAACTCTAGAGGTGCTAAGGACCTAATTATAACTCTGCTTTACATTCTCAATCACTGTAAGCATCCAACTAGTGGAAGATGCAAGAGGCTATTACCATGGTGAAACTTGATATAACATTATCATTGTTCCCTTTACTTCTTGTAGGATTTATTAGCAAATAGTGAGTATGCCGCTGAAATCTGGTTTTGACTGAATTCTCAAGAAAGTCCTAGCTAGCAAGGATGCTCAATGTACGGCTTGTGTTAAAACAGATAATATGATTCTCTTCTGCCAGATACTGTTTGGCTTCTTTCAATATCATATGCCGCAACTCGCTCATCTGAATATAATGTAATTTTATTCTATCTTACTCTCCTCAAATGGACTTGCCTACTAGGGGAGCTGTTAGTGCCATTAGGAGTTAGATTTCTATTGTCAACAAATTAAAAGGAAGTTAGGTTACCATACCCAGCTTTTCGGTGTTAGAAAAGTCAAGTACTCATGGAACTAGTAGTGGAACAATCACTAGGGATAGAATGCCAATAAAATCTTTAGGAAAAATAAACAATAATTAGGCACCATATTAAGCAGGGTGTTTTCCTTTTTTATCTCGATTTAGTTTTGCTGTCATTCTTCATACTAGAGTAACTTTTATCAATCAAAGAGTAGAAGTGTGCAATCTTAGCACTCAAAACATAAGTTGACTTATCTATGTTAAAGCTCTTAACTCTAGTCAAAAACAACAACCGCCTGCCTGTGATAATCCCCTTTTGATCAAGAAGTGGCACATGAAAAATACAAACTCATCTGCCTATAATTCCCCCGGATATTTCAAGAAATAATATTAGCAATCACATGTATTCTAATTCCATTCATATTCCCTGTTCCTTTAAAGAACTGCCATTACAAGAAAACAGTGATATGTATAAGTGTAAACCAAGTTTAGTATAAGATGGAATACACCACCTCTTTTTTGTCCATACCACTGAGGATGTCATGAAGCATCCAATGGCCGGGTAATTTATCTGAACTTCTAACTATCATGTGGAACAACTCATCATAGCTTGTCGATTCTATAAACTTTGTGCAGCTATGTAGATACAAACCTAAGGGGTTTAACACTGACTTCGATCCAGATTATTGCTTTGAACTTATCAGCAAGAAACAAAGAAAAAGCAAAGGAAGCCCCAAAAAATCATTCCAATGGGTTGATAAACTGATAAATGCATTACCCCGCCAGCACATTGAAACTTTGGATACAAGAACTTTCCAGAGATATCAATTTGCAAAATTGCAGCAAAATATCGAGAAAGAAAGCTACAAGTTACGGCCAATTGCCTGTCAAGCACTGCGGCCACCACTCAGTAATCACATTAAATTGTCATTTCAGTTCCGGTACTGAATGTGAATTGAGACAATTTACAAGAACTTCACGTTACAGATTGCCAGAATAAAATTCTTCAAGTCTACAAGTTAAATCTTGTGTCGCAAACTGCCAACTAACTGGTGGTAATGTAGCAGCAGAAAACTGAATTTGCATTGTGGGAGTACTTAGACAGAAAACCAATGGCCATAAAGCAACTAAATCAAGTGGGATAATGACAATTGGGAACAGTTCTGTTACCCGGGGGATGGAGTAATGGAGAAAAGGCAAGAATGGCAGCCATAAGGGGTGGAGCCACGGTTTTCAAGAAGTTCAGCTGCTGTTCTTTTGGTATTTGGGCTACCTGGTTTTGCCTCCTAGAACTCACATTTTTACTCTGAAAATAGATGAGAATTATCAGTGGCATGCAGCTGTGGAGATGTATATAGTAATGAAGAATAGGTAAGGGGGTACCTGTGTTGAGAAGGAACAGATGTTGGTGTTACAACTGGGCCTCAAATAGAGGAGCTGCATGTCTCTTCCGCTGTTCTGGGCAGAGAGCAGGGAGATGAGACTGGAGAGAGGGGATTAAAGAGAGATTATCAAACAGAGTCTATAAACTTGGGGTATTCGGTATTCCACCAAAATAAATCAATTTTTTTTTCAAGAATTTTAAACTAGGCGAACATTTCTCGTCTTTCTAAGGAGAATGACCAAGATGGTCCTTCACATTTCAATTTTTTTCCTTTTGGTCCTTTGCATATAGAAATGGTGCAAAGTAACCCCTTGTGTACAATGAAGATACCAATTGTGTCCCGAAATCTATTTTCAACCAAATTTTTGACGAAAATATGCATGTGCAAGTAACGTGCTCGTACTTTCTTGGATTTCAACCAAAAAATTGACAAAATCATGCATGTCTAAGTCACGTGCTCATACTTTCAAAGGACAAAGTCAATGCAGGATTAAAATCTCGACAAAAAACAAGTGATATGCACTATGGTATTTTTTCCTAATTCAAGATCTAAAGTCTAGATTGGTGGAAAGGAAAAGCAAGAGGGGAGTGGGAGAGGAGGGGGGTATTGGGTGGGAGTGGGAAAGACAACGGTGATCAGGATCGACGGAAAGAAGGTCGTAATAATGGATTGATAATTGTGACGAGGGAGTAAAAAAGGAGGAAGTGAAGGGCTTCTTTGATGGAAATGTTATTCTTGTTCCTATTTTGTCCTTATAAGTATGAGCACCTCAAATAAATGCATATTTTTGCTAGAAATTCGATCAAAATTAGGTTTTGAAACTAAATTTGTTTATTTATTATATGTAATGAATTATGCTGCATTGTTTTGATGCAATAATTTTAAACTTTGACTGGTAAGAAAACATTAAATACAAGCAAAGCAAAAGTTGTGAAAATCCATATGTAGCCCCTTATCACCCCTGCACCTAAAATAAAACAGGCCACATGCATCAAGTTATTAGGGGTAAAAATGTAATTCCACTGAAGGGTCCTACCAATCTTCATCAATCAGTACATGGATGGATAGGACACTCATAATAATCTATGACTTTGTCATTCTCCTTTGTCAGTTCTCCCTTTAACCACACGGCTCTTCCTCCTCCGTCCACCACCACCAACCCCCGCCGGCCACCGGAAAAATTTGCCCTAAATACTCCCAAAAGACCCCTGTAAATAATCCCTCCAAGAATCACCTGTAAATTTGTTTATAACAAGTAGATAAAAGTGTGTAGAGATGGCGGCGTTGTTGGAAGAATTGGTGAAGACGTTGGAGGCTTTGGAGCTATGGATGAAGCTGATTAAGAAAACTCCGCAGGACTACGTGGACCCCACACTTGACCCGGTTCTTTTGGTACCCGGGATCGCTGGTTCTATCCTCAACGCGGTCGATGAGAAAACCGGAAAAGAAGAACGGGTCTGGGTTCGGATTCTCGGGGCGGACCATGAGTTCCGGACCAAGCTTTGGTCCCTTTTTGATCCTTCCACTGGTAATTACTATGTTTATTCCACATTTTTTTGTTAGTTGTGTACAATTTGTGGAATTTTGGGTACTGTAGTTTTGTGAAATTCGTTTCTCTATATCTTTTGGTCTTTGTCTTGAATTTTGTAGTCTAATTCCTTGCTTGGAATTACCTGGTGCGCTGAATCTGAATCCGGATATGATTGTTTAATATTGAAAAGCTTGCTCTTTTGTTAATTTCACAGTGGTAATGGTACAATTAAGTATGAATTATTAGTAGGAATAGGGAAAAAGTTGTTCAGGAAAAGGAAAAAAATCTGTGAATAGGGCAAGGGATTCTGTTCTAGCTTTATTAAGAGCTTTAGTTCTGTAATTGATGAGGAATAATTGTTCTTGTTCATCTGACTGTGGTTTGTAGTTTTTGCTTTCTGGTTATCGGATTTATTGGATATTAGGATGAAATGGTTGTCTCTATATGAAACAGGTGAAACTATATCAATAGACAGAGACTCGAAGATTGAGGTACCGGAGGACAGATTCGGCTTGTATGCAATAGATGTATTAGATCCTGATATGGTAACATTTGTTCTAATGCTTCCTTTGTTTTATTTCCCATTTTTCATGGTTGTATGCTTTTGTGTTTACATTTCTTTCTTTTTGTCCATTGTTTGTATCACATGATTTGAACCTTCCGAGCGGCATTGCACTTAGTTAGTATTTCAATCTTTTTTTCTTACTTCAAAACTCTTCCTCAACCACCCCCGTCCCCACTCTGATGGGTCAAGTGGCACCAGCATTTAGTAGTGTAACATATCATACTTCTGATTAAGGATAATGAGTCACACATACACAGAATCAAATCTATCAACTTTTTCTAAATTTGCCTAACATTGATTGCTGCATTAACTTGCATATTGGTTTTTGGTATCTACAATCAGTGCTATGAGTTCAGTGTTGTCAACAAAAGTAGCATTGTAGCATTTGACCAAGACTTATTTGGGTACTGGAATAACCTGATTTCTGTTCACTTTCTTTTCTATTTTATTTCCTGTAGATTATTGGGCGTGAAAGTGTCTACTATTTCCATGACATGATAGTTGAAATGCTCAAGTGGGGTTACCAGGAAGGAAAAACACTCTTTGGCTTTGGATATGATTTCCGCCAGAGCAACAGGTAGATGCTCATTTTTATTCCATTTGACTCTATGTTCATGTTTTGCTTCCCCCTGGAGAGTAATACTGTTTAACCGTTTTATATTGCGATGTTTCCATTGCCGCTTACTGGTTCAACTATATGTGTGAGCTTTGGTGAAACACTGTATACAATTTGGTCAAAGTCATGAACATGTTGTGGAAAAGTTTGAAAATTATAGAATTTGTGTAGATCTACTATAGCATCTAGGGATTTTGAGTATTTGAATTGTTTGGGGCTTCTTGTAAGTGCTTCCAGTGTTTGTGCTTTTCTGTCCTGTTCATGTTGTTCATGATGATATGTCTGATGTCGTATGACTTGGTGGATGGGGACGGAGGATCTAGCTTTTAAGTTTGAACATTATTAAATGGTGCAAGGGAATATGAAGTTCTCCAACTTTTCCTTGGACTTCATAATGAAATATATAGTGGTCCTGCAATATTCAGGGGCATTTTGGAGAGAGATAAATATGTTACTTTTATCACCATGCAGCTTTTTATTCATCAAAACCACTTAACAGCTTAAATTGGTGATGTTTAGCCTAGTTGTCTTATGGAACATGTTTTAAAATATATAGCTTCCATCTAAATGCTCAAAAATTTCAGACATTTTTTCACAAATTGGTTTCGTGGTTAATTCCTCTTGGAAGCACTGAAAGTGGTGTATTGCGTACTGCTTATTTTCATGAGTCGAATCTGTTCATCCACACGATGAAGCTGTCTTACTCTTTAATTGCTTCAAAACGTTTTTGAAATTCCTGATGTCTACTTTATTTTCTTGTTAGCTAAAAGTGTTGGGAAGTGACTTTTCCATGAAGCTTGTAAGATATCTCATTGTATATGTTATTCAGAATTTGTGTTGTGTCCAGACAGTCCTATCATGCATAAATCCATTTTATTTTGAGGCTATTTTGGGCTGTTCCATTCACATGAACTATTAAGTATGCAAATTTCGGTCTACTATTTTCATAGTGGCAGTGATTTGGTGACTACATGCATGATATGGGTTTAGCTTATTTTCAGAATGGAGTTTGCATTTTTTTTTCAAAATTGAAATTTGTGTCCAAAAGGTTGGACATTGTTTTCCTTGTTAGCTTGGTTCAGTGGTGGTTGGAATTCATCTTACTTATTCTCAAGAAAGTAATACAGGAACTGTAAATGTTGGTCTCTCTGAATTTTATCCTTGCAATTGTAGAAAACAATCTTGTGACCCCTTAATATATATTGCTGAATATATTTAAATTTTTTGTTGGGTTTAGACACTTATTTGACTGTGGATCGCATGGGGAAAAATATGCTCTTTTCCTTTTGCAATATTGTAATGATTCCATGTTGTAAAGCTGTGGAAATCCTTGATGTTGCCAGGTTTCAGGGCACACTGGAGCGGTTTGCTGCAAAGCTGGAGTCTGTATATACAGCATCTGGAGGGAAAAAGATAAACATTATAAGCCATTCTATGGGGGGACTTCTTGTGAAGTGTTTTCTGTCTTTGCACAGCGATGTAAATTTTATGTTGGATTATCTCCCTATTTTATGTTTCATTGCCTGTGGGTTCAGTATCTCATGGTGATGCCATTCTTCTGCAGATCTTTGAGAAGTATGTGAAGAGTTGGATAGCTATAGCTGCACCATTTAGGGGTAAGTGGCTCTGACATTTTCTATGAAGATACAATGGAGGACCAAATATTGGTATATGATAAAAGTCTTTCTGCATTCCCAAGTCAATTGGTGTAGCATAAATAATTATATTGAGATTTCTTTGATCTTTTCTATTTTTCAACAATACTGGCAATCTACAAGCAAATCAAGGCTATAAGGATTCTTCTTGATGTTCATATGTTTCAAGTATTTTGATATCTGAAAATTGAGTAGAGATGGGCCCAAAGTTTGTGATTGTTTTGCACTGAAGGATATAAATATTCTTCTAAATTTACATGATTCTTCAGCTGTGAAGTAGCTCCTGCCTGCAAAAGTTTATGCTAGATTGGTCAAAGGTTTAATTCTTGCACTCTTATTTTGCTGATAGTTCTTGACACATTTAGTGCATATCTAGATCCAGAAGGGAATGATTTTTATTGCTAGCATCATCATGCTGGTACCTGTGAATGGATGCCTTTATTTGTCAGTGAAATATTCTTCTGATCATAAAGTGAAGTGAGGCCCGGAGAGTTTCCTCATTTCAAAGATGATTTCTTATAGCTATATAGTGTAGCTTTATAAGATAATAATAAAAAAAATCTTTTAAAAACTTTTCGTGAAAGAAACAACTGATTTATATATTTTTCATGCTGACTCCCTTCACAAATTAATATGGTCATATATCTACATTGATTGCTGTCATTTAACAGGTGCCCCTGGATATATTACCTCTACACTGTTGAATGGAATGTCTTTTGTGGAAGGATGGCAGCAGAATTTTTTTGTTTCAAAATGGAGCATGCACCAGTTGGTATAAACTCTGCCTTTTCTCTGTCTGGCCCCCTCTCC